GGATAATGAAAGTCTCATTCAAGGTTTTTATTTTTCATTTCTTATTAATATTTTTCTTTTTCAGATATATTTTGTCAGGCTGTTGTTCTATGATTCTCTACCTGAGTGTTATTACAACCGTAACTTCCTCTTTCAGACTGGCCTCACAGATGAAACAACCACAAAGTTGGGGCTGCACAATCTGCTGCAAGTGTCCACAAGCAACTCTGACCGATATTACTTGACTCGAAAATGCTGCTATGTCTTCCATTGCTTGAATCTCAGAACCAGCTTCAACTATCCAACTATACCGAACAAGGTTTGTTAAACTATGTATTCTTTCAATGAAATTGATTTACTTGTTAGATTTGGAGAGATTGGTAAGTGAGACTAATCTTTCCCACATCAGATGGTGATACAAGATGAACGAGTCTCTTCAGCCATAGAGCAGGCAGTGTTGGAGGAGATGGAAGAGAAGGGAGTCGAGGCCAGTGACGACAAGACCTACTATAGCCTTGTTGCGCAGCACACAGCCAGGGCACACCACCTTCTAAACAACATGAAGGCTGCTATATCTAGTACTCTTATAAGGTAAACAGAATTTCCCTCTCTCTCTTTACTTCTTTCTGTTTTTCTCAGTTGCTGCATACTGGTAATAGCATATCACTTCACACAATGGTTTTGGATGGGCTGATATGCCATGTTTACTGAATTTTAGTTCATTAATTGTGTAACACAGATGGCTTCCCAATTAATTAGTCACATAGGAGTCAATTATTATCCCTACTTATTTATTATTATAGTCAGTATTTTGATTACATAATGAGAATCATAATGGCAACATAGATAATAACAATATTGATGTTAACCCATTCGCCCCGGATTTATGTTCTGTCCCCTGTAGTTTTTAGTGAATTTTGTTACATACAGACAGCTCCACATGTACTCAGCCAGCATGGAGTCTATCAGTAGGCCATAGTTACTGATCCTGATTTCCCCATTCCTTGAATTGGCGGAAAAAAGTGTTTTTCTTATTAATACCATTTCTTTCAATACTGTTGTTATTGTTATTGATATTATGATTATTAAATTGTCATTAAAATATTTTAGACAATATTTAAACAACTGATACAAAAGACCCTTTCCTAAAGTGAAGGAAAAGGGTAAACAGGTGAGATAGGTAGTTCTGATAACTGGCTATTTGGTAATTAATAACTTGTAGAGCCATCTATGTGTAAATACAATAAGTAAACTTGTATTACAGTGAGCATGGCATGTATTCTTGCCACATGGGGCGAATGAATTAATAGCATTAGAAAGTAAAAACAGTATTCATGACCATTGTATTAAGCCATTGTTGATGGGATGTTAAGAATATATGCCATGTTCACTGTTTCTCTTACATCTATGTTTAAAGACAATTAACTCAATGTCGCAAGGGGAATGCTGTGCCCATTTTAAACATTTTTGTGAAATGTCTCTGTACATAGACGGCTCTGCAAGTGCTTCGCCACAAAGGAGTCAATTAGTAGAGCTTTTGACCTTATCCGATATCCTTGAATTTGCTGGAAACCTTTTTTTTTTACTAGTGTTGGAATATTGAGGTGTATTTTAGTAAATACATTATAAGTACTAATGTTAACCCATTCGCCCCGGATTTATGTTCTGTCCCCTGTAGTTTTTAGTGAATTTTGTTACATACAGACAGCTCCACATGTACTCAGCCAGCATGGAGTCTATCAGTAGGCCATAGTTACTGATCCTGATTTCCCCATTCCTTGAATTGGCGGAAAAAAGTGTTTTTCTTATTAATACCATTTCTTTCAATACTGTTGTTATTGTTATTGATATTATGATTATTAAATTGTCATTAAAATATTTTAGACAATATTTAAACAACTGATACAAAAGACCCTTTCCTAAAGTGAAGGAAAAGGGTAAACAGGTGAGATAGGTAGTTCTGATAACTGGCTATTTGGTAATTAATAACTTGTAGAGCCATCTATGTGTAAATACAATAAGTAAACTTGTATTACAGTGAGCATGGCATGTATTCTTGCCACATGGGGCGAATGAATTAATAGCATTAGAAAGTAAAAACAGTATTCATGACCATTGTATTAAGCCATTGTTGATGGGATGTTAAGAATATATGCCATGTTCACTGTTTCTCTTACATCTATGTTTAAAGACAATTAACTCAATGTCGCAAGGGGAATGCTGTGCCCATTTTAAACATTTTTGTGAAATGTCTCTGTACATAGACGGCTCTGCAAGTGCTTCGCCACAAAGGAGTCAATTAGTAGACCTTTTGACCTTATCCGATATCCTTGAATTTGCAGGAAAACGTTCTTTTTTTTTACTAGTGTTGTGAATATTGATGGTGTTATTTTTAGTAAATACATTATAATTACTGTAATGTTAACCCATTCGCCCCACGTGGCAAGAATAGATGCCATGCCCACTTTGATACGCAGACATTTCACAAAAAAATGTAGAAAATTGGCACAGCATTTTCCCC